CTGATGGACCTATAAAATACGTGGAGGTCCTGGGAGGAGACATGCTGTCTCAGAGTCAGTCCTTCAGGTCCTGTATGTCTCCAATGTCAGAGTACAGCGATTTCACTCTGATTAAACCCAGCAGCACCACAGACTTTAAGGAGGTGATCAGTGTCCTGGATGCGTCTTTGCCCGACAGCACCTGGACCTTTGAGAGCCAGCAGGTGAGCATAGAATACTAAAAGAAGTGATGAGTAAAAATTTGAACGATCATTGATTGTGCCACAGCAGAATTTAAAAAAAGAGTCATGTTTTACTTACAAGTTTTGAATGAGTAAATAGCTTCTTGTAAACTTATAGACTGTACTAAGTAATGTAGAAAGCCAACGGTGATTTTTTTTTTCAGTCTACTGGCAACATTGGATGTTGGCTTTGAGTTCTTTTGAGCAGAATATAGATAATAAAGCCGCATGCGGGCAGACAACAATTTATTTTAAGGTTTGCATATTTAAATAACACACTGGGTTTTATTTCCATCTAACATTCGTGATTAGGTTAAAGTCTTTCAGTAAACCCTAAACAGTGCACAAAGGCTCTTCCAAATTTTTCAGCACCGCGAAGGTGGACAGCGACGCTTATTGGAATGCATGCTCTGTTTGAAACGCACATACATTTTACACGTGGCACATGCAGACATGCAGTTAAATGGGATGCCCATTATTTACACATCTTCCACTAAATTTCGTTGACTGGATTTAATGGAATAGCGAAATAAAAAAATATTTAGTATATTAAGTGATTTATTAGTTAGTGGGATGATATGCTTTACATTGCGTGAAGTCCAGTAATTCGCGATTACTGCCTGTGATTAAAGTGAATCCGGAGAGAGAAAATAGATGCTGTGACTTTAAGAGTGTCGATTGGTTTCCTTCTTATTGGATGACAGAGGTGGATGATGCGCACCAATAGGATTCAGAACTGTACAAAGCAATCTAGTCCCTGCCCCCATTCATCCTCGGTACTCGAACACTTACAATGAAGAGAGGCAGAGGACCGAAGGAGCAATGCGCTCATATTTTATAATGTTACGGTTTTATATGTGTCCTCAATAATATGTGGGAATGGTTCTATGGGAATCATACCTGCAATGATGGATTTCAGAATTTTTCAGTGCATTATGTCAATTGGAATTAATCTTTTATAACGGACCAAGGATGACAAAGAGAAAGGGATGTCGAGACTGGAGATGGCTGGCGCTTTGGTGGCATCATTTCTTTCTCTTGTGGAGTACAATAGCCGGACAAACTCGTTACAGCATTCCAGAAGAACTAAAACAGGGCTCTGTTGTAGGAAATCTTGCCAAAGATCTGGGTTTGGGATTATCTGAAATTTTTGACCGTAAACTGCGTGTTGCCTCTGATGCTGGTAAGCAGTATTTCAGCATGGATGCGGGGAAGGGCGAGCTGGTGGTGAATGACAGAATAGACAGAGAGGCTTTGTGTGGACAAAGCGCCAGCTGTGTGTTACCTCTGCAAGTAGTTGTTGAAAATCCTTTACAGTCTCATCGAATTGAGGTGGAAATAAGAGACATAAATGACAATACTCCTAGTTTTCTTACCCAAGAAATTAATCTTAAAATACCAGAGTCAGTTGGTCCCGGCAGACGTTTTCCTTTAGAAAATGCAGAGGACCCCGATGTTGGGAGCAATTCTTTGAAAACGTATACTTTAAGCAAAAACGATCATTTTTCATTGAAATTCAAGGACACAACGAGTGGTAAAGCTGTCCCAGAATTAGTGTTAGAGAAACCCTTAGACCGCGAGAAAAACGCTTTCCATCAGCTGCTGTTGACAGCTTTAGATGGAGGAACCCCAGTCACATCGGGAACATGTAAAATCACAATTACTGTACTTGATAATAATGATAACTTTCCAGTGTTTAGTGAAAACGAGTACAAGGTTGTTCTAAAGGAGAATATCACCACGGGGACGTTTCTAGTTAAACTTACAGCAACAGACGCCGACGATGGGCTTAATGGTGAAGTTAGATATTCTTTCGGGTCCCGCACTCCTGACTCAGTGTTATCAACATTTGCAATCAATGTGGAAACAGGAGAAATTATATTAAAGGGCCCATTAGATTATGAAAGTAATAAATATTACCTTATTGATATAACTGCTAAAGACAGAGGGGTTCCCGAAATGGAGGGTCACAGTCGTGTGCAGCTCGACATAGAGGATATAAACGATAACGCTCCGGAGATTGTGCTAACTTCGGATCCTAGTCCTGTACCCGAGGACGCACGGAGTGGCACAGTCGTGGCACTGATCAGTGCAAGAGACCTGGACTCCGGTGAAAATGGCAAAGTGACCTTACATCTTTCCAAAAGTTTCCCGTTCGCTCTGAAACCTTCGTTTTCTAATAATTATGAATTGATTACCAGCGGTCCTTTAGACCGAGAGAGATCTTCAGAGTATAATATAGAAATCAAAGCCACTGATTCAGGCTCTCC